TGTCACCCGCACACCCGCGCTCTCTCTTGCAGCCAAGATGGCAGACGGAAGAGCAGAGGAGACGGCAGCGGAGGCCTCGGCCTCAAAGAGAAAAGCCCGCCCGGGCTGCTTGGTGGACAAACGACCATCATCAAGACATGTTCCTCCAAAGAAGTCTCCTCCTTTTGCTTATGTGGCAGCAGCCAAACCGGCCATTAAAAAGGCACCCTCTGGCTTCAAGGGCACCATCCCCCAAAAGCCGTGCCTTTCGGCCACACCCTCAGGTGGCGCTTCCACTGTCAGGCACAGGGCTGCTTCCAGACAGTTCCCTGGACCTGCTGCTTTGGCTGGAGCCATTGGGAAGCCGGTAGCAACTTCTCTTCCTGTGGCCTCTCCAGTCCCAGGACACCTCGGGACCTGGAGCCCTGCCCAGTCACAGCCCAGTTCACAAACTCGGCAGAATATAAGACGCTCCTTTAAAGAGATTTTGTGGAAAAGGTGAGTTGGTGTCCTTGGCTTTTATCTGTGGAAGCTCTTCCATGTATAGTGTGATCATTTTGATATTGCCCCACTGTTTCAAAAATGTAATGTATCCAAATGCAAGGGGTTTATGTAGTTTCTCTTTCACTCCATTCAGAGTCAGTGACAGTGATGACTTAATCATGACAGAGAAAGAAGTAGGAAACATCGCCCTTCATCTGGAGAAGGAAATGTTTAACTTGTTTCAAGTTACAGATATTCGCTACATGAGGAAATACCGCAGCCTCCTGTTCAACCTGAAGGATCCTAAAAATCAGGTGTGTGGTCTCTATGTACTGCAGTATTTCTCATGCAGAAGGAAACTTGGTGTGTGTTTCTATTAGCTGAGTTTCACAGTGATACATCAAACAGCATTTGCAACATTTATATTCTTTCCGTGAAAGTCAGAAAGTATTTTTATCCTCTGTGACACTTCTGTATGCCCCCACGTACTTGGTGTTACTTGAGGATCTTTCTGTTCCCTACCTTAAGTGGACTCTTGTCAGGGATCTCACTGACTCCCCCTGAAGTTCATCTTTTATTTCACCAGATTAGCTTCTTCTAAACATTGCAGTGCCAAATTACATGCCCATCCCTTCATCGGCTCTAAAGTAAAGTACAGATTCTTTAATCTAGAATTTGGGTGTGTCCATATTCTGGCTTCAGACAGCCTTTTCTGCCTTATTTTCTTCTCTCTCATCACTTGAGTGAGCCCGACAATTTGGGCTACTTCACAGTAATAATAAGGAGCAGCCCCTCCAGTTCTCACCATTTGGACGGGTGCTGCAGGGCAGCTCAGTCCTCATAGCAGGCGTGGGGTGGTGGGTGTTCTCGTGTGATCAAAATGGAAATGAAGTGTGAAAAGGCTGAGCTGCACACCTGCTACAGTCTCTTGCCTCCTGCCTCCAGGGCTCCCAGGCTTCTGGTCCTCTGTGTCACTCTCTGAGCTCTTAGCTGTGCAGTAGAACCAGGGTCAGATACTCTGCAT